ACTAACTAACTACTAACTAACTAACTAACTAACTACTAACTAACTAACTAACTAGCTACTACTACTACTAACTAACTAACTAACTAACTAACTAACTAACTAACTAACTAACTACTACTAACTAACTAACTAACATAACTAACTAACTAACTACTAACTAACTAACACTAACTAACTAACTAACTAACTAACTAACTAACTACTAACTAACTAACTAACTAACTAACTAACTAACTAACTACTAACTAACTACTAACTAACTAACTAACTAAACTAACTACTAACTAACTAACTAACTAACTAACTAACTAACTAACTAACTAACTAACTAACTAACTAACTAACTACTACTAACTAACTACTAACTAACTAACTAACTAACTAACTAACTAACTAACTACTAACTAACTAACTAACTAACTAACTAACTAACTAACTAACTAACTAACTAACTAACTACTAACTAACTAACTAACTAACTAACTAACTAACTAACTAACTAACTAACTAACTAACTAACTAACTAACTAACTAACTAACTAACTACTAACTAACTAACTAACTAACTAACTAACTAACTACTAACTAACTAACTAACTAACTAACTAACTAACTAACTAACTAGCTACTACTAACTAACTAACTAACTAACTAACTAAATAACTAACTAACTAACTAACTAACTAACTAACTAACTAACTAACTAACTAACTAACTAACTAACTAACTAACTAACTAACTAACTAACTAACTAACTAACTAACTAACTAACTAACTAACTAACTAAGTAAAAATGTTAAAATTATTATCAAAGTTACAACGTCATTTTGTCAAACATAACGTTGCGTTGTCGATATCACAACGATGCATTGCCGAATGGACAACAATGCAATGTCAACAACGCGCAAATGATAACTGGGTGTTAAATAACATAGTAAGCTCACTTTTTACAACGGATTTTATAAATTTTGATACTTTTATACTTTTATAAAAGCGTAATAAAATTGTGGATGGTTTAATATAAGAAGCTCGTTTGGAAAAAGAGTTTAATAAACCATAAATAAACTATTAATATCTTTTGGGATACAGGAATAAGTAGCTTATTATAAATATATTAATGTTTTTTTTTTTTTTTTAATTTACATAATAATGATTACCTGAATTTCCATTTGAGCATTTTACGTGATGTAAAATTTCACTATAATTGTATGTTTTATAGATATTAAAGTACCTGTTTTTTCCAATTTACTATTTTGCATAATAAATATTGAAAATAATGTTAAAGGCTGTTTTCGTTTTTATTTCATTTATTTGCTTTATTTTACCAACTATTAAAGAGCTTAATACTATTTATACTTTTAAAGTTGTTTCTACTTTTTTTCTTAATTTATTTTATTTATACTCGTATTCTTATTTAAGCAATATTTTATTTATTTTTTTACAATTCATTTTATTTGATTTTATTTTATCCTGTTTTAAGTGCTGTTTTTATAATTTTTTGTTATGAAACAACTTTATCAAAATGTGTGCTTAAAGTGTTTTAATAGTTTTAATTTTTTTTATTTATATATATTTTATTTTTTAAAAATGTTGAGAAAATATTTTACAACAAATATACGCAGAAAGTATATATAAAAAACAAACAATTTATTAACAAATAAAAATATTATAAAAACACGAATTTTATTCAATTTTTTTTACATATGTGCAATTAACAAAATAATGTGCAAATTATTTTTATTTTAGGGCTACAAAGTATTCCCAACTGACTTACCGTTGTTTGTGAATATTTTATATATATGAAATATTTAGAATAAGTCTTTATATTTTCAACCTGAATGTACTTTCTTATCTAGTTATATAATTTTAAAAACTTCCGTTCAGTGTAGACCCAGATAACTTACTACGGTTGGATATAAGGAATCTAAGTTTCAAACCTAGGGCAAGACCTTCTCTGCGAATATAGACAGTTTTTTCTTTTTTTCTTTCGTTGCAAATACGAAGGTAAGTTTAATTAGCCAGTGTTCAATTATTACTTTAAGCAATTTCGTTATATTTTACTTAATGAGATATAACTTATATAGTACATTTATTTTTGAAAGAGGGCCCACATTAACCATTGTACCTAAATATGTTTAGATGATTCCGTATATTTTTAATCTTTTGAGGAATAAATCTTAAAATACTACTTTTTATAAGTCCTTGCTACTCTTAATATATCCTTGAAGAGAAATTTTAAGAGTTAATTATTAGCCAATCCTCGTAAAATTAGGTGATTCCGTATATTTTTAGTCTTTTGAAGAATAAATCTGTGAATACAACTATTAAAACCGATAGAAAAATAAGGATATTAATACAATCCGTTGTCAAAAGTGCTTACCACGATAACGGAAGCTTATAAAATTTAAATAACACCCAGTTATCATTTTAACAACCACCGTCATTATTTTGACAACGCATTGTTGTTATTTCGATTACGCTTTGTGTCATTTCGACAACGCAACGTTCTGTTTGACAATATAGCGTTGTCACTTTGATAACACATCGTTTTCACTCCGAAAATATACCTCCCATAAAAATAAGTAAATGTTAGGGGATTCATGAAAGATGTATGCAAATTTGCACAAATGGCTATCTGCATTATTTAGAAGAAAAAATTTAGTTTAAAATTATTAGTTCAAATAGGCGATCAAATGTATCAGTGTTCTGGAAGTAAAATCCCATGCATGATAGCATCGACCGATATGGCTATTTTCAACACAAAAACTGCATCAATTGAGAATATATGTGCAAAAATTTCAACTCCCTAACTCTTTTTGCTTTGACTCTATTGAGTTTTCAAACGAATTTAATAATTTCGATGTGTTTCAAACGGAATGACAAACTTTAAATGTGTGTTTCCTATTGTCTGAAACGTTAAAAATGTTTAACCGATTTCTGTGTTAAAATCCATAAATACAAATTTAGTTTTAAGGTTTATTTGATTTTTTCGGACTGTGAAATTATATTATTAATAATACACTTCAGGCTCGAGTTTGAGTCCCACTTTTAATTATAGGAATATTAAAAAAAAATATTTTACATTTATATGAGGTAATACACTATACCAGTGCGAGCGAGACCCAAACCTGTCGAAATCCAGGCAACAAACACAAGCCTGAACGCGTTTAAAAAATAATCGCGATGACGCGAGAGTTGTTCCCCAACTCAGACCTGAATTACGACTGCCTCATCGACTCTCTTCTTGTGCCATATGATATGTCACTAATAAACATCATCTATGTATTTAACTCGCAAGTTTAAAGAAATAGAATATGGGAATTGTAACCAATTCATTTTAATTTATTGAGCAAGAACTTTTCCATTGTTGTATTCCTATATAGCATTACTCCAACTGTTAGTTAGAAACACTTTCTGTTTTTGTATGTTTTGTATTCAGCAGTTCGGTCTACCACTTAGGACACATGTACTTGTCCTACTAGGAAGTCAATCGTCACCCCATAGATTTCGAAGGGACAGACAAAAAGCTTATGTTAGTTTTTTAAGTGTCCCTCTCTGGTATACAAAGGGGACTCCAAAGTGAAGATTATTCTCAAACTCGTTTACAAAGTAGTACAAAGTAGTAGTAACGAAAGTCGAATTAGAGCCAACCAGGTGATTAGACGTTAGTGTAAATCACTATCCTTTTGGGATGCATTTACTCTTTGTCGAACAGCTGGGTGTTGATCCTATTTCCGTCGTGTACCAACACCAGTGCATTAAACATGTATTCTTCGTATTCATTGTGTTTGTATGTATATTAGGACGTAGGGTAAAGATAGATAAGAATACAAAACTGAAAAAGCTCTTAGACTTCGATCTAACTGAATAAAGTATAATGTAATTGGATTAAGAATTCCAACAAAATAAAATTGTTGAGTATTCTTATAATTAAAATATCATTAAAATTTGGAAAAAAAAATGATCACCTTATGGGACTCGAACTCGAGTCTGAAGAGTATTCAATTAATAATACATTTTTGCAAAAATAATTTTCTCTCTAGAGCTGTTGAGCCACCAGTTAACGTGGTCCTATTGCCCTAAATTTTTCCAAAAAGCATTTTTATAACTTAAAGTATAGATCTATTTGGTACACAATTGTACACTCACAAAGACTAAAAGATCAAAATGATTGTTGCCATGTTGCAAGTATTTGAGCTTGAAAGCCGTTACAGTCATTACGATGACGATGATAGACTCTGCAGTAGTGCAACCAATAAAACCAGTATTCCAAAAATATAATTTTTACAAAAATCAACCTTAGAACACCAAAATGGAGTAAAAACAAAGTATTTGTTAATTTATTTTTCTTTAATAAAATGTTTGCTGGGAAATATGTATAAATTTGAGTACCTTAGTCATCGAAAGAAAGTTTAACTATATATAAAAAAGGTTAATCTAGTACAATTACCTTTTGAGTTTTTTAATATACTTTTTTGCTCAAATTATATTTCTAGAATTTGCACTTCAGGCTGAAATTAAAAACCAAAAAAAAGTAATAAAAGTTTTTAAAAGGATTTTCCTTGCAGTGCAGGGAGTAAGTCAGTATTGGAAACTCTGTTTTAACACTTAAATATTAAATTTCATCAAATTTGTTGTGTACTGAAAAGTCATTATTTAGAGCATTTACAATAAAAGTGTTTTATTTTTTTATTTTTGTAGTTTATTTTGGTATTTTTCATTAAACTTATTTAACAAGTACTAAATAGTTATAATGTCTGTGAGAGTATTTGTTCTTAGTATTTGGATTTGTATGTAAAAAATGTGAAGATAAATTTTTAATTTTAAATAAGAATTGCTTTAAATGGTAAAATATAAACAAAAATTAGTGGCAGTTTCCGGTTCAAATCCTTTTGTTTTGATTGGAAAAGAAAGTAAAATGTAATTCAAATTATTTATGTAAAATGGCAGTTTATTAAATAATTTTTGAGTGTCTATGTATAAATGTACTTGTTGTATGATTTTTTTAAGTTTATCTTTCTTTTTTTTTTTTGTAAAATAATATCTAGTCAAGTGTTTAAAACACAATATTCGTTATGTTTAACTATTATTAAAAATATTTATTTTTATTTTGTTTGTTTTATTTTTCCTATATTATTACTGGCAAAATAAGAATTAAATTCTTGTTTGAATTTTCTGCTGTTTTTTTTTCTTTCTTTAACTTAAATTTTTAAAATCTTATTTACTAAATACAAACTACACATAACTTTTTTTTTGTAAGTAATTATTTATGTATATTTATCTTAAATATTCCTCCACTCGTTTTTATTTTACCTGGTACAAAGGATGTTGTTATTTACATTAAAGTCAAAATAAACAAAAAATTATATGAATAAATAAATTAAATGAAAAATAAATAATATTTTGCCTTCTTCTCACACTTTCCATAATACTTAATATTTGTATTTATTTATAAGTTTATAACGTTCACTTATTTCTTTGAATTTTTATTATATAATTATTTATTTATTTCCTTATTTTTTTTTTTTAATTTTTTATTCTTGTTTTTCGTTTTTTTTTGTTATAGACTAACTAATATGATATAGTAACTTCTTCCTTATATTTTTTTGTTGATGTTGCTTTATTTTTCATTCCTATTATAACATCTTATACTCAGCCTTTTATATTTATTTCCGTTTGCTTCGTATAACAGCTTTTTCTTTTCCTTCTATTGCTGCTGTTGCTTAAACTAAGTATACTCCTACTATTCGCCGCTTTATTTCCTTTACTTCATACTAATACTACAATACAGCATTTGTCATTTTTTGCTTTTATTTTAGAAATAATTCGTTATTTTAATAAATGACATCATATTTTGAATAGATCATAAAGTATTTAAACTTAAAATTGTTGAAAATATCACCAGGACAATGTTTAAAATGATTGTGTTGTTAATAGTTGCTGGATATTTACTTGTCGAGCTTCCGCCTGGATAAATGCAAAAGTAATGAAAAGAAAGTGGATGAAGAAAATAAAGAATATAGGAATTGTTAAATAAATATCAATATAAATTAAATTTAATAAAAAGTAGAAAGAAATAATCGTTCATATGATATGAATATGATATGAACCAATCCACATATAATTTAACTACTGCCTGATTTTTTACACCCTGTAACAATTCTTTACCTAAAAGCTTTTACACGTGTAGAAGTCGAAGATTATAGGACATATACAGATGCACAGTGGTTTCGAAACCATTTTCTTGGAAATAATTCATGATCTCGGGAACTATAAAGTAGAAATTTAAAATGACTAAAACTAAGGTGTTTTCAAGTTGATCGTAGGAGGCCAGTTGGTAGCCCATTAAAGTGATTCACTTCACATTTAATTTAAACAAGTAAGAGCGATATATTCGGCTATGCTGAATCTAATATACCCACCATCAAACCGCATGCCGTAAAAGGAATGTTTTCCTTTGCGATATTACTCATCAAATTTACTAAAGAGGACCTTATATGAGAGGTAGGGTGAATTATTGACCGTTTTTCACTAATTATTTCATAATTTTTTTAGACTGATTTTGGTTCATATAAAACACGTTTATATCGAATATCAGTTCTCGACACTTTCCGCTTTAAATTCGGTAGGAAGATTTACGTTCCTATAAAAGTTTCATAGATTTTGGCTTGTAAGTAACTTACTTATGTCAAATTTCATCTCTACTCTACTCGTACTTTTAAGGCAGTAATGACCGTTAAAGTAATTATCTGGAGGGGACCTTATATGGGGCTAGGGGTCAATTATGGACCGATCCACATAAAATTTGGTAGAGAGTATTTTGCTCCTAAGAGACTTTTATTGATATTCTCGTATTTTTAAACCAGTAATGAGCATTAAAGTCGTTTTTTGAGGGGGGCCTTATATGAGGGTATGGTCAATTATGGAGCGATCCACATAAAATTTGATAAAGAGATTTTGGCTCCTATGACTCGCAAACTTATGTGTGTCGAATATCATGGATATATTCTTATTTTTAAGCCAGTAATGAGCGTTAAAGTAATTTTCTGAAGGGCACCTTATATGGGGGGTAGGATCAATTATGGACCCAACCTCATAAAATTTAGAACGGAGATTTTGGCTCATATTAAACTTATTTATGTTGAATTTTATCGCTACAGAAACACTTTTAAAAGATATATGCTCGTTAAGGCTGTTTTTCGGGTCCGTTTTCAATACCAAACAAACATTAGCTATAGAAAATATTTGTGGAAAATTTCCCTCTAGCTCAATCCGTTCGGACTCTATCGTGTTTTCAATAGGCAGACAGACAGACGGACGGACATGGCTAGATCGTCTTAGAACTTAATAAGGATCCAGAATATAAACAAAATCATTATACCCCCATCTTTTTTGATGGTGGGTATAAAAACTAATTTACCAAAAGAGGCTTTATATGGTAGTTAGGGTGAAATATGGGCCGATCCTCATAAAATATTTAGGAGGATTTTATTTTTATATATAGAAATTAGTTATGCTGAATTTCATGATAACCATTAGTATGGTTATAAGTAAATTATGGACGTTTAAGGAAGTTTTTAAAGGGGATTTTTTGTGAAGGCCAGAGTCAACTGAGAACCGATCATTAAAAAATTTTGTCATTCTTATATAAAACGTAGTTGTGTGGATTTTGAAAGAATTATATTAGTTATAAGCTAAAAATCATAAATCGGAGGGTCCTAGTTAAAATAATGGATCCATTTCAACAATTTTCAATATGCTTCGTATGTTGAAAATTGCGGCCAGATGGAAGAACAGACAGGCGGTCTGATATGTCTTAGTCGACTCAGAAAGTGATTCTGAGTCCATCGGTATAATTTATGTTGAGTGTAGGACCAACATTTCTAAATCTTTTCAAGAAGTATTTATGTTTTAGATTTCAGCTTATTCGGATAATAAATTGATTTTTGGTTTCTGAAACGCCTGAAAATACTTTATATTTGTTATATAAGTTATATTTGGTTTTAAAAATATATAAGGCCTTAAAAACTAATTGCTTTTGATTTTGGTTAAAAATGGCTTTAGAATAGTTGGTACAAATGAATTCTCATCAATAATCGAGTTCAAGGGTACTACAAAGCACTAGATAGAGTTTAATATAAATTCCCTCGTACAAGATGGATGAATAAATCATACTAAAACAAAGTTGTATCAAAGCAGTCAATAGTTTGTGTCTGAAAATTTAGTATCAGTGCTATACGAACTATATTATTATACCCTACACCACTTAAGTGGGGAGGGCATATTGGGTTTGTGCTGATGTTTGTAACGCACAATAGTATTGGTCCTATACCCACCTTAAAGTATACCAATCGGCTTAGAATAATTTTCTGAGTCGATTTAGCTGTCCGTCTGTCCTTCCGTCCATGTAAACCTTGTAATCAAACTATAGGTCGCAATTTTGAAGATAAGTCATAAATTTGGTACATGATCATCTACTGTCCCAGGGACGAAGTCTTTTGAAAATGGTTAATATCGCTCCATTATTTCACCTAGCCCCCATACAACTGATCCCCTGAACAGGGCTTGTAAACCTTGTAATCAAACTACAGGTCGCAATTTTGGAGATAATTCAATCATCCAAAATTTGGCACATGATCTTCTATGGTACCGGAGACAAAACCTATAGAAAATGGTTAACATCGGTAAACTGTTCAACCTAGCCCCCATACAAAACCAAGTTCTATACTAGCCTTGATGACTCTCATGAATTTTATAATTATAGGGTCTCATTTGACCATAGCACCTATACAAAGTCCCTTCAAAATTTGACTTAAATGTCCACAATTTTATTCAACAATAAATGGCTTAAGTATATCTGAGGCAAGGTACAATTCAACTTAAATGCTTTATTATGAAAACTAAATCACATTTTATTTTTGTAACAGGTGTAACGTATTATATGGTCGGCCTTGCCCGACTATAATTTCTTACTTGTTTTTCAATTACTTCTATAGAAGCTGCCATGATAATGAGACCTATGAAATTCTTTTACACTGGGCGAATTTTGCAATGAATTTCTTAAAGAAAAAGAATTTAATAATTTCTCTAAAACCTTTCATCTAGAATTGTAAATTGTGTTCTTCCTTTTTTAAAAACTTTCAACACTGAAATTACATATAATTTAGCCCATATTTTCCCCTGTTCACCTCCGCTAAAATCAATAAATTAACTTACCATTTGTACCGGCATGTATTAACATTTGATTGTTTAAATTGTCATAAGGAATCAGGGCAGCATTCAGTGAAGTTTCGCGTGTCAGTTCGGGAAAGTTTTCAATCTCCGCTATACATTTCAATTGTAAAATTTTACCCGCCTGATAGAAACGTGGGCCGCTCAAATAAAAATGAACCTGCAGTTTTTGTCGTCGTAAAATGTAGCCATGTGCTGAGATGCTGGTATCAACATTTGGTTGTAATTCACCTAAAGAAGCCTGAAAGTTTATAATAAAATATAAATAAAAAATTATGTTATATTTAATGAAAGAAATCATTTTTAATAAATACACAGAGGGAAAAAAACGTTATAAAATTATGCACGCTTAGTATCAACATGACACCAAAGTGTTTACAATTTTTCAATAACATCCGTTGTCAAAGTATGTACGGATAGTTGTCAAATTAACAACAAAAATATAAGAAATACACTGCGTTCTCAAATCAACCAATAAATAATAAATAACATATGACGTTGCCAAATCCGTTGTCAATTTTGACAACAGATTATATCAATTTCGGTACTTTTTTTACCGGTGTTTTACCTCTGTGTAGTTTATAAGAATTAAAAAAAAAACTTTGCGAATACAATTAATTATTTACCTGTTCACCGTTGATAAACCACGTTAATCTTGTGGGTAAACTGGAATAATCAGAGGTACAAATAGCACTTAGATAGTCTTCCATACGATACATGGGATTAAAGCTTTCTATTAATGGATCACTTTGAGGTAGAGCTAAAACGATAAAAAATGGCAACAATTATATAAATGTTATCTTGGTTTCTTGCTTAATTGTATCTGTGTAATATCTAATAGTAAATTTTGGCCCCCACCTGCTACAGTCATATTATCCTCTTTGGCTGCCAGTTGAAAATGTGGTGCGTCTCCAGACACTTCACATTTGTAAACACCCGATGATTTCGCACTTAACATACTCAATTCCACTCTACACGATGATTCATTGCAATAGTATTTACCATCTGGCAAATGTACACCAACCACCGGAAACTTTATATAAACCGGATGCATCATAGGTGAATATCTACAAATATTATGGTGGTTAAACATTATGTTTTTAATTTTATTATAACACACACACACAGAATTATTTATTCGAGTGTGTTGGTATTAATGTATTCTTTTAATCATGCATGAAAATAGCATTTATTTGCCATAAATCAGTCGGTATAAGGCGCTAAATAAATCCATAATAACGTTTTTTTTCTCGGTATAAATATATTTAAATAAAAATTTATTGTTTTTAATCTATCCCTGTTTCTTGAAATTGATCAAGCTGGGCAATACCTTTACTTGGTCCTAACCTAATAACTCAGAAACTTAACTTACAATATATGATTATTATAGGATATTTTATATTCGAACACTGCTAAATATATTTTCCCCACCCAGCTAAAAACGATCATATATGATTATATATGGATCATATATGAATCATATATGGACCATATATATTCATATATGTTCATATATGGCGATATATGATCATGTCATATATGGACACATATATGAAAAAATATTCCATATATGGATAAGTATGGAAATATATGAACATATATGGAAATATATGAAAATATATGGAGATTATGCCCAATTCCGCCAATTTTCGGATATGAACATATATGAAAATATATGCTTCATATATGAATCCATATATGATCCATACATAATCTTTTTTAGCTGGGCACTTATCATTAACAAAAAACTCTACGCTGCATAAATCAACATTAAAATCCTTTGTGATAAAAAATCTTACACACAATCAGACATACAGACACACACACAAATGTTTTTCTCATACTCCATGAAGTACTTACCTGAAAAATTCCATTTTATCTTTATACCATTTGACAGAATTCAATGTGTGTCCACTCATGGCATAACTACATGATAATGTGACATTATCACGAAAATCAACAATTTCCGGAACATTTAAATCAGTCACAAATAAACAGCATACACTTTGTAAATCTTTAATGAAAACGAAATATAATAAAAAAATGAATTTATTTTAAAAGCACATGAATCGAGATGAAATTTATTAAATACAGAGAAGAAAAAAAAATTCGAACAAATATTATTTACTGCAACAGACATTTTATTATTATTATTATTATTATTTTTTAAATACATACATTTTTAATATCCTGTATAATATGAAACTTTATTTGCGCAAATATACATACATACATATAACAGATTAAAAATTCCAGTAAATATTTAATATTTGTGAAATATTAATAATATTTTTATATTTTTTGTAATAAATAAGTAAAAAACATATTAAAGTTTAATTTTTAGAGAAATTTCTAAAAATAAATTTTTGAGGTAATAAAATTTTAAAAAATAAAGAGCGTAAATTACAGCCTGTAACAATTTTGAAAAAAAGCTTTCACACATAGAAAATTTGATATGCATGTGAAACTAGATTCCAATTATAGCAATTCTGCGTACTACGATTTTTATAAACAGCTCTTATGTCCTTATAAAAGGACTTCAAAGTTTAAAGGACTTACAATTTTAAACAAATATTTTAAATATGTATTGTATGTATTGTAATTAGAGTTTGGTGTTCGGGAAATCCCGTCCGGGAATTATATTATATACCCACCATCAAACCGTATGCCGTAAAAGGAATGCTTCCCTATAAACACCAGGGTGATATTACTCATCAAATTTACTGAAGAGGACCTTATATGAGAGGTAGGGCGTACTCGCATTTTAATGACAATTATTAGCGTTAAAGTAATTTTCTAAAGAGAGGCTTATATGGTCGGGTAGGGTGAGTTACCGCCACTTTCCGCATGAAATTCGGTAGGAAGATTTACGTTCCTATAAAAGTTTCTTATATCACATTTCAGAACTGTATACGTATTATTAAGCCAGCAAATGATCGCTAAAGTAATTTTCTGAAGGGCACCTTAAAAAGAGATTTTAACTCTTATCAAACTTATGTGTGTCGAATTTCATCATTTTCTCATTTTCTAAAGGAGAGCTTATATGGGGGTCAATCATATGGCGATTCTTATAAATGTCAGTATAGAGGTTTTCTGAAGGGGATAGGGTGAATTATGGACCGATCCACATAAAATTCGATTAATAGATTTTGGCTCGCAAGGAACTTACTTGAGTCGAATTTCATCACTATACTCGTACTGAAATAGGGTCAATTATGGAACGATTTACATAAAATTTAGCACACAGATTTTGGCTCGCATGGAGCTATATGTGTGTCATATTTCATTGCTATATTTTTAAGCCAGTAATGAGCGTTATAGCCATTTTCTGAAGGGGACCTTATGTGGGGGTAGGGACCCATCCTCATAAGATTTGGTTGGGAGATTTTGGTTCCTATTAAACTTATTTATGTCGAATTTCATCGCTATACTAGTACTTTTAAAACGAAATACTCGTTAAAGCCGTTTTCGGTTATCCACTTGCTATCCGAAAACGTGAACCGATATTGCTCATTGTCAATACTAAACAAACCTTACCTATAAAGATATGTGAAAATTTTCAACTCTTCGGTTCGGACTCCATCGTGCTTTCAACAGACAGACGGACATGGCTAGATAGTGTTATAATTTAATAAGGATCCAGAATATGTATACTTTTATGGGTCTACAAACAATATTTCAAAGTGTTTCAAACGGTATGACAAAATCAGTATTCCCCCTATCTTAAGCTTTAATTCTGATGAATTGAAATAAATAATGTAATTTTGCAGCAGAGGTTCTCAGCTTCATTTGATATTAATATTGATACCAAATTTTTTATTTAAATTTAAAATTCCATAATTTGAAATCGTAAGTCTTTTAAACTTTAAAGTCCTTTTACAGAGGCTTAAGAGCTAATTATGAAAAACTGAATACACAGAGTTAACACAGTTTCCGGTACACATACATATATATTTTTTCATGTGTGAAAATGACTGTTGCAATCCGAACAAAATTTAGCAGAATGATTCACGATGTACTTATGTATATATTAATAAAATATGTGCGTTTATGTGGATATCAGAAGTGGGTCTTATATGAGAACTATGAACAATTATGGACCGATCGGAAAATATTTGCAAAGTGATATATTTGTATCTAATATTATTCAGATAACTTTATTTGCTTAATTAGTTTAAAACATTTTAGTGATTTTAGGAAGTGTACCTCATATGGGAGCTACGTTTAATTTGTATTAATACAAAGGGGACGATTTTTACGATTTTGGCAATAAATTTATGTTTTTGAATTTTAACAGCAAATAATATGTATTCAATTATCGTTCTAATAAGTTATAAAACACAAAAAGTTATTACAAATTCCTCTGATCATTTAGTGTCACAAAAAAAACAAATAAGAAATGTTTAGCAAAAGTAATAACTTTTGGGAAATATTCTAATAAAACCATGTCATTACATTAAATATATTTGTATTGACTTAAATTTGAGTTTTTATCTTCATTAGATAGCGTAAACCGTATTTGGACAATAAAGAAGGGAATAAAATAGTAAATTAGGTCGATTTCTCTGACATATTAGTTGCTCCTGAGATTTGAATTTCGAGAAACAGGCTTTATTCTTTACTGTTAAGCATTTTGTAAAAAACTTTTTTAGAATATATAATTCAAGATAATACAGCTATACAGTATATATAATAAAGACCCATATTTATGATGACATCAAAAAGGTTGAAATTAATCCTTAAACGTAAATATCCTAATCCTAATTTATATTATAAATCTCTTTGTAAGTCTGTTATATATATATATATATGTATATATATATATATATATATATATATATATATATATATATATATATATATATATATATATATATATATATATATATATATATATATATATATATATATATATATATATATATATATATATATATATATATATATATATATGTATATATATATATATATATATATATATATTAGGAAGGGGACAAAAAATAGGCCAAATGGCGAAAATTTGACAAAATTTGTACTTTTGTGGGGGGTAGGTAGTTAATACGGGACTGTCCTTATAAATTTTGGTAAAGGGATTTATGTCTACATTAAAGTTATTTATGTATATAGTGTTTTTAAGTGAATTTGAACCATCAAGTCATTTTATGAAGGGAACTTTATATGGGGAAGGTGATCAAATGAGGACCGATCATTACGAAAATCAGCGGTGTCATTAAAACTTATATAAAACTAAGTTTTGTCGAATTTTGGTGTGACACAACAACATTTAACATATTTATGAGCTCAAAAGCCATATTCAGGGGTGCGATTTCATGGGGGCTATGAGAAATAATGGTCCGATTTTAACCATTTTCAATAGGATTGAAGGAGTATGTGCAAATTTGCAAATTGCGTTTATAATTATTGTTTATAATTACACTTAAACGGCTGGAACGATTTTCTTTAAATTTGAAACATATATAGGTGTATGGTATGATAGGCTATATTGTTTTCCAAAACTTGGATAAGAAGGGACAAGAAGGGGTATGTGCATGAAAAGGGGACGAAATTCTTATTTTTGGGAATAAATACTAATTATTGTCTATACTCAAGCAAAAAACATTTCTGATTAAGCTTTTAAAGTGTCTAAAAAATATGTATTATGTAGCAAAGTTCCGTTTCGAAATAGGAGAAAAGACAAAAAACAGTAAACATTTGTATTTCTATGTTTTAAGTCTGTTTATTTTTTCGTTCTAAAGTAAAAATATTTTAGACGATGAGTTTTTAGTTTCAGAGATATGTGTATTCCAAAGTCCACCACTAGAGGGAAAAACGGCGTCATGAAATAACTCCCCAAAACAAAAATTAAATAAGGGCGTCATGAAACAACTACCCACGAAATAACTCCCCAAAACAAAAATGAAATAACTCCCTAAAAATTTGTTCAGAAAGCAAAAACAACGAAATTTGGGGATTTAATTCGTTTTTTGGGGCATTATTTCACATTTAAAATGGGGAGTTATTTCATTATGAAATAATTCCTCAAAATTCAAAAATGAAATAAATCCCTAAAAATATTATTGGGGAGTTATTTCATTATATTACATTTGTCACACGAAATAAATGTCTGATAGCCGGCCTTCGCCCGGGCGCAAGGGTTTTATCCTCTGGGGTACATTGGACACCGGCTTCGCTAAGAATACACTCGCCTTGTATCAAAAGTGTTCGGCCTTAGGCCGGCTATTTAGGAAATCTTTATTAAGCGAAGCCGGTGTTGGTCATATTTTAGAGCGGTAAATCCTTGCGTACGGCCGTAGGCCGTCTATTTGGGAAATATTTACTAAGCGAAGCCGTTGTTGGACATACCATAGAGTAGAAAGTCCTTGCGCAAGGCCGAAGGCCGGCTATTAAAGGAATCTTTATTAAGCGATTAAACTGAAATGTATTAAACTTTGAAGCCCCACTCGAAAGTATGAGCAACCTACTTTTTTTAGAAATTTTGTTATTTTTAAATGGGAACTTATTTCATTTTAAAATTAGGGATTTGTTTCATATGAAATAAATCCCCAAAAATGGGGTGTTATTTCATTTTAATTTAGGAAGTTATTTCATTTCGTTGGGGCTTTTTTCATTTTTAAATTGGGGAATTATTTCATAATGAAATAAGTCCCCAAATTTAGGGAGTTATTTCATTTTTGCTTTGGGAAGTTATTTCGTGGGGAGTTATTTCATGACGCCGAAATAAGTCCTCAAATTTGGGGACTTATTTCATTATGAAATAATTCCCCAATTTAAAAATGAAAAAAACCCCAACGAAATGAAATAAGTTCGAATGATATTGATGTCGGAACCGAAAATATCTCTGTTTAGTCAAGATAATAATAAGAAAAAAAGATTTTGCTCTGATATTAATAGCTACATAGTTGAACAGGACAACACTGAAGACAATATACAAAATTTAATGTTAGAAAATTTCCTAAGTGAATATGAAGAAAGTGATTCTGAGTATGAAAGCGA